TTTATCTTTTTGAGAAACAGCACGGTGTGCGTAACAAAGCTGTAATGTCTACTTAAAAGAGAGACAATAACAAGAAATGAAAAAGTAACGAATATACTGCAGTGAATATTCCTCTGATAATGGGAGGGAATTTTGAAAATCACTCGTTACAAAATTCAAGAGGTTGGACGAAGACCACTGTTTTTGTAATGAGGCTGCAAGTAAGCAAAAGGTGGAAGCTGAACACGGTTGATCTCAATGTACCTGTACTGTAACAATGCTGTCACTGAAATAGAATCGGGGCGCTTATTGACAACATCAAATTTGAGGGGGCGCTCATCAGAACGAGGGCACTAAATCGAATCATTGCGGTAATCTGAAGAGCAGGGTGCTGGCAACAGTTGTGGTTTGAATATCAAGGACTGGAAAAAAAAAAGGCCTCGGGAATAAGTTTAACGCCACTAAATGTGCATCGATAAGGCAGAAATTCGACCTTCACGAAGATTTCTTAAATTGTATAAGTCATGAGTAAATATAACTAAAAGCGGCACAAAATGAAACCCACCAACGAAACCTCTAGGGCGGTTATTACGAGATGACAACTTTTTGCATTATTAAATTCAAGATACTTTACGAGTCTTATGTTATCGAGGTAAACGGGAAAAACCAAATTTTTTTTCACAAAATATGTTAAACAGTCCAAGGAATTTATTTCGCAGTTTTTATCGAGGAAAGTAAAACTGAACTTGATCATTTATATAAATTATACTGGTACGAGTCTTGCAGTTAAAACTAATTACAAATTGTCTTTCTCTGAAACAATTGACGTTATCATAGCAGGGCCCAAAGCAAATTGGATTCATTTAAACGGAATATTTTTCAAGCATGTTCATCTTGAATGGCTTCAGTTCGAACTGGTTTAANAGGCACGTTATACACCAGTATGTTAAACCTTTACATAAGTCCTATCCACAAGGCTTTGTAAAGTTTCCTCTCCATAAAAAAAATACATCCTTAACCACCATACAAGTCACACGCAATTTTATTTCGTTGTGTTTTGATACAGAAACAAACCACTCATACGATGGAAGTTTCTGGTGCTTAATGGAGACCATACGGCCTGTCCACCGTCTCAATCGACTTTTATACAAGTCGTTGTGAGAACTCTTTTAACAGAACTCTTTTGCACCTGATGTGTTAATCTTTCTTAATAGGGCACCCTGAGATTTTGCAAAGAGTTCAGAACATCCTTATCAGGATACTTAGCAGGAAGACTCCTCGCGGACTTCTGTTGTCCGTAAGGTTACCCTTTGGTAAGTTTGGCATTACCTGTGACAAATGAAATCTTTTAATATGGGAAGGACTCCGCGCATATGACTGTTGATGATCTTATTGTGGGCATATCTCTACTTAAACCGTTCTTGTTTCTTGACCACCGTAGAAGTGTTTAATCAGTATACATAAGAAAATTAGCTTGCCTGTTTATCCAGAGATAAGAAATATGCTTAGTACTTAAATTAGTGACTGTTACAAAGTATTTCTTCCACTTATATCGCAAGCAGAATATTTGCCGATGACATTCTAAGTTAAGAACAAACCGCGAACTCACCAGACTTTCTCTACGCAAGAGTCCTTTTAAGGAACCGTCCCTTTAAACGATTTACATAACTTGTGGTCAACAGCTATGAACATGAGCTTTCATGGATGTAGCTATCAGCAGTTGTAGACAGTGCAAGTCATAAGCCGCCTTAATCGTTAAATGCCACAACCCCTTAATTAGCCGCCTCAGCTAGTCCACAACAAGTCACGAACACATTAACATCTTTTAGAATTAAATTTTCATCAATCCTAAACTCTTAAGGTAGAGGAAGAAAACAACACATGTATAGCATCTGCTTATTGAATCTCCGGCCCGTGGGTTATTTGGAACACCACCTAAGATTTATTATATGGCACCGAATCAACTAGGTTTGAAACTATAGGCCTAATCAGTGCTCTCTGTTCAATACAAAAAAGACTTATCTCTAACTTCCGCGAATTATGGAAAAGATGTTTAGAACAAGAGGCAAACTCTACTTGATAAAAGGTTATCCATTGCATACGACGCCCATTGCATACCCAACTATGTGACGTTTATAATTATAAATTGGCACTACTCGATACAGCTTTGGGATCGAGTTGAGCAATATCTCGAACATTTGAGCTGCGGTTACAGCAGGGAGTCTTTATAGAGAATAAGAGTTTGATTGAGGAAACTAGAGTATTACGTGAAACATACTTCCTTTACCACTTGGTTCGTAAATGGATTTTGTCTCACAATTTCCTCACGGACATCACAACGGATTTACCAAAGTGGCTACAAACGAATTACTGAAATACTTATCATTCGTGTGGCGACTTTATAGAGATCAGACAGTTCAATTTCTAAGAAGGTTTGTCATGTGCTTGGATGTTAAATGCCACCGTTATCATTCTTTCACTCCTAACCGTAGTATTCACAACGAAGTGGGTGCTTGTTGGCTCTGATTGTATTTCATGCGCTGAAAGTAGCGAAGGAAGTCGCAGCTGACTCGTGGTTAGCTATCGGAACTGCTTTTCACAATTTCTGCGCCTGGACGTCCATTTGCAACTAACTTATCGTATATACTGCTGCCCTGTTTGAAGGTGAGCTGTTGAATGATTATTTTATTATGATTTTGTTTTGGAGTCGTTAAACGTATTCCGATATGCACTTTTAGCTACAAACTTAGGTCATAAGTTTTGAACTGAAGTCACACGATTTCAGCAACGACATAGTTGTCCATATACGTAACTGCAACAGAAGCTCTATGCGTGCTCTCCACTTAGTTGCGTGCAAGTCAAGATCCATTTCAAAGTATGCTTCTTAGCTTTGGTCTTTAAATAAAAGTTAAACGGTTAATTACAGAAAATGATGTAAAGAGATTAGAAGATTAATAGCCAGGTGTTTTTATCATAATTCCACTCAGATTTAAGCCGATTGTTAAGTCATGTCAACAACTTTCTACACTGGAAACACATCCACAATGAGTCGAATGATATTTTAAAATGATAATCAACATTTTCTTTTTGTATTGAACAGATGGTTATTGTAATAAAAATGACCTGTGCTTGGAACTCATTGAAAAGGAAACTGTCGTTAATTAGTTGCGATTAGACAATTTTGAC